ATCCAAAGGATTCAAAGCAATTAACAACATACCTTTTAATCATTATAATTCAAATTCACGAATCGGGCAGCGGAAGCGATTTAGAATTTGAAAATAGAAGATTTGAGTGTTTGAAAGGAAAAACCCAGATCGATGTTTATAGAAGAAAGCATTGCTTTCTATAATCTGGGAAACCTTCATTCGATAATAACTTAAGGGTTCCCTTGTCGGTTTACACTACCGCTTCTTTTACTTCCTCCAGAACCAGACTTCGATTCTCCATAAGAGCATAAAAGAATTTTTTTTTATTTTTTTATATAGTAACATACAAAATTTCTTCTTTACAGATTGAACTCATGTTTATATGTCTTGTGGCTCTGATACCACATGTAAGATTCTTAATCATAATCACCAAGACCAAAACATGAACTACAACTTAGAGAGAAATATTCAGTTTATGTATATGAGAATCACAGCAAGAAGAACATACCTGCACTTGTAGCAGAACCCGAAGCCATAGCAGCAAGTTTTCAGTGTGCCTTCTCTTCTCTCTCAGATTATCAAGAGCTCGACTTACAAATAGGATTAAGTCCAAAATTATGAACATATCTCTGTGAGAAGAGAGACCACTATATATATACATATAATCTTTACCATACTGATTAGGATTCCCTATCAAAATCCATATAGAAAACAAATTCTTGTTTCCTTGTTCTGATCTTAATGCTGCACAAAATCCCTCTTCAAAAGGGATTAGCATTCCTTTTATTAACAAGACTTTTCTATCTAATTGAACACCTATAGCCGGTCCTAAAACTCCTCTATCTCATACTCACATTCTTACAGAGTAGACCAGAGAGGAAGGCAAAAGAGAGAAAGGAAGCGGTGCGGCGGAATTAGGGCGCAGGTTAGGGTTCTGCTTTGCGGTGTCAGGCTGCCAGTGGCGGTCGTCTGTTTTTCATTTTTCTCCTTTTTCCGACGTTTCAGTTACAAACTAGTCATTAGTACAGTGATATTTCCAGTTCAATATTGAATAATATCTCAACTTCGAATATTTAATCTCCATAAATGTGAAGAGGAAAACGAATATTTATTGCTTTTAAGATATTGGGCCTCAAACACACGAGCCCAAATATGACCAATGGACCAAAACGCAGGCCCATGAGGATTGGAAAAAGCTTTCCTGATGCTGAGGCTTGTGCTTGCGCCATCAAACACCTGGTGGACGACGCTCCTCTTTCATACACCGTTTCAATTGTCACCGACTGCGAGCCGTTGCACGCTTTTCTTTGACCCCATAAAACCCACCCGCCGCCTCCTTCCTCCTCCGTCGTATCCCAAACCACAGAGAGAGAGAGAGAGAGAGAGAGAGAGAGAGAGAGAGAGAGAGAATGTCAGGGCTAACATGCAACTCTTGCAACAAGGAGTTTCTGGACGACTCGGAGCAGAAGCTCCATTACAAGTCCGAATGGCACCGCTACAATCTCAAGCGCAAGGTCCCCGATCTTTTTCTCCTCACCTTACAATTTTATTTCTAGGGTTTTGCTTTGATGTTTATTCATTCGATTTATTGCTATTTTGATATGGGAAAATCGAAAGATTGGAATTTCCCAAACGCTGGATAAGAAAACGAATTCCATTCTTCTGGGATGAATATAACGTTGATGTTTTTTTGTTTGTATGGCTTTGATTCCAAACATATGTTTGAATATTTTGATTGCTGATTAAATTTTAGTCCTGCTGATGCTTTTTGGATGTTTGTTTGGTTTTCTGATGAAACTGAGCTGAACCTGTCTTTAAATTTTCACTATTTCCCCATAGATAGTTCGAAATGCATTTGGAACAATAATCAATTTTGGCTCGAATGGTTTGTAGAGGAACTCTACCTTCTTCGGATCCATTCAACACGTGCAATTTCTTTTTCCGTCGATACGTCCTGCAATTTGTACTTGAATCCCTTTTGTACCTGCCTGTTCAGTTAATTCAATAGCTTTTTTCATTGCTTTGCTAAATGAAACTCTATTCTTTAATTGTCCGGCTATAAATTCTGCACATGAAGCTATATGTGTGTGTGTGTGTGTGTTAACGATATGTTCTCTATGGTAACTGGGTTCATGAATTATGGTCAACAAAGGGGCTGAAACTAATGCGATTAGTCGTATTAATTATAATTTTGGTTAAAGTCGGACATCCAATTGCTTCGATTTGAATTATCCGGAGGATGCCTAACCAGTCATCCATAATATATCAAATAAATCATTTTCGTCTTTGGCAAATTTACCAAGGGCTATAGTCATAGTGATCCTCCTATTCAACTACTTCAACTGAAGAGGACTCGAACCTTCACGCTCTTTAGCATGAGATTTTGAGTCTCGCGTGTCTACCAGAGGATGGTAGATTCTGCGTAATTAATCGTTTTTTGATCTCTGTTCTTTCCACTAAGCCTGTAGCAATATTCTTGTATTTTGAGTTTCTTTTGTGTTATATTTTAATTGGCTATGCATTATGTTGTCTTGTTAAAGCTCATTTGACGAAATGCTTTCATTTGATATGTTGTGGCGTGCTATTGTTCCTTTGTAGTTTACAGTTTACCAGCCTATTCAGTGAAAGACGTGTTTTGATGAGTTTTAATAAATTATGAAATTTTCTTGAAAACAATCAGGTAGCTGGGGTTCCTGGAGTGACAGAAGCATTATTTATAGCGAGACAAGCTGCACTTGCTCAGGAGAAAAACGGTTTGAGTGAAAGCCCGATGCTCTACAGTTGTGGTCTTTGTGGCAAAGGGTATAGAAGTTCTAAGGCTCATGCTGAGCACCTCAAGTCACGAAGTCACATCCTGCGGGCCTCTCAAGGGGCCAGTGAACAAGAAGAGAAGCCAATAATTAGGCCACTTCCGAGTCGTGTTGTTAACAAAGCTCCCCCGAAAAGAGAGGCAAATGATGAGGAAACTGATGAAAGTGAAGATGAGTGGGTGGAGTTTGATCCTGACGAAGACTTGTCAAAATCATTGACTGATATGAATGTGGATGAGCATGCATCCGAAGAGGATATGGATCAAGATGACGACTTTGAGGAGTTGGATCCAACTTGTTGCTTTATGTGCGATCATGATCACGACACCATAGAGAGCTGCATGGTTCACATGCACAAACAACATGGATTCTTCATTCCTGATATCGAGTATTTAAAGGATCCAAAAGGCCTCCTTACTTATCTTGGTCTCAAGGTACTGAAATATGCATTACGTTCTTTTCCTGTAGAAACTTGTTCCCGTTTTGGATTTTTCCTCATAAATTGGCTGACTCTTCATGCCTTTACTTTTCAGGTTAAAAGGGATTTCATGTGTCTGTACTGCAATGATAGGCGCCATCCTTTTAATAGTTTGGAAGCAGTTAGGAAGCATATGGTGGCAAAAAGCCACTGCAAGGTACATTACGGTGATGGTGACGATGAAGAGGAAGCTGAGTTGGAAGAGTTCTATGATTACAGCAGCAGGTTTTTGTCCTTTCCTATCCAATTTATTTAATTCTGTTGATGGCTGTTTAATTATGTCAAATTGTTCCAAGTATTCCTTTCCTTCTTTATATATGTTGGTATGTCTTGGCTGAATTGCTTCTGTCTTGGTTTTTAGTTATGTGGATGAGGCTGGCAAACAACTCGTAGTATCCGGTGATATGGCTAATAGCGTAGAACTTGGGAGTGGTGGTTCTGAGCTCATTATTACTAGAAGATCTGATGATGGTATCATCCAAAACACTTGGTTCCAGGGAATACTTGCGCTATTATCGCCAGAAGCTGCGCCCATCACCTGCTAATGGTGTCGCCATTACAGCTGCATTAGCCTCAAGGTGTGTTTCTAATCCCATATGCTGAGTCTGCTTTGGTTTTGACAAAATAATTTGGATCGACGCTTCCCCCATATTCAGCATAAACCCTAAACGCTAGGTTAGAACAAATCCTTTGATAACATAAGTTGTGTTCTAATTTTCAGGTACCGAAGCATGGGATTGGCAACGGTGCAGTCAAAAGAACGAATGGTCAGGATGAAGGTACTGAAGGAAATGAGAAGATCGGGAGTGGAGGCTATGCGGAGTAAGATGGGAATGAAAAGCAACGTCATCCGGAACCTGCCCAAGAATTGCACATATTAGTCTCAACACCTGCGATATCTGGAGCTGAATGATGAGTGTTGAGAGCCTCAAGTTTTGGATGTATTGTTTCTATTTTTCTGAGAGTTTTTCTACCAGTAAACATCTATTAAGTTGTGTCTTTTGTATTTTAAAAACCAGTTTGAGCATTCATAGCAAGTGGCAGTATTTCGTTTGTATGAACTACAATTTTTACCATCATGCAATACAAGTAATCACTTTTTTCGCCGGCTTTCAGAGGGGAAAGGCCAGCGGCGTCGGGGTTTGATCAAAATGCATATTAGCCAAGTAATTATATTACTATAGATTCAGATGCTTAAACTATTTGACAACGTAATCAAGCAACACAAGAGCTGAGTTTTCTAGTGGTTTATGTATTTTAAGATGGTTTTGCTTTATTAAGTAGTCTAAGTTTTTTAAGCTTTTAGACCTATAAACTAATGTAATCTTGTAATCTTGTGACTAATACGTATTTGGTCCTCACATGTCGTCAAAATGAGTACCTTAGGAGTGCAGGACGGGAGCATTTTTGCTCAACACTATAAATGCTCATTATATAACTAATCATCTGTCACATATCATTTCGCTTAACCTTGATTAATATTTTTCAAAATTGAAAAAAGTAACTTTTAATGTGAAAGTTAAATATAGTTAGGTGAAAGAACACATTGTAGATAATTAGGTGTATAGTGAGCATACACCATAATTATAGTGACGAGCAAAAATACTCCCGAGCAAGGACTGTTGCACTTTGTGTGTTAATGCAACACTCTGAAAGGTTGCCAATTCGAGACAGAAAAATTGAAACGAGATTTTCTCTTGACCGGAATTTTGAGAAATTTATAAGATTTGAAGCAAATGAAAGCTAAAACATTTAAGTAACAAAGGAGGCAATGGAATTGTCATGTAAAATGACCAATTAGCACATCTCATAAGTTGATGACAAATTTCAGCAATTTACAATCCAGATGTAAGCTTCTTTTACATGTAAAACCACTGAAGAAGATGAGATCCACAGCAAGCATCCCAGTGCCTTTCCACTTCGGCGTCTTCCGATGGATCTCCTTCTTTCTTTCCTGCACTTCTATTCTACTTGAGCCCTGCCAAAGGATATAATACACGTCCTATGAAATCGATAGACGTACTGTAAGTTCGGTTTATTGTATGAAAAATGAGAACTTGAGAGGGCTACAAAACCCAACGCCGCGTAGAAAATGAGTCCCATCTTTTTTTATATATTAGTTAGTATATGTAGATATTATGGCCCAGATTAATTTACTAAAGAACTTTCTATTCAGTTGAAACTTAAGAATGAACGAATGTGTATGCAGGTGATCAATGAATAGAGCATACCTAATTGTCATAGAAGCGAGAACGACGTCTACGAGAACTGCAAATAAAAGAGGAAATGTGCATAAATGTTAGGTAAAGACAAGAAACAAATGAATTCTACAATCTTTTACGAGAGTTAAACAAGAGCCGTAATGCTCATGTGCCCGTACTGAGCTCTCCAAGCCCCACTTAAAGAGATTCCTCTACTGGCACAATCAGTCCAACAAGAAAATGAATCAAATGGTGCATTTTTTTAAGGGAATTTCAGTAAGATGGTGCACTAGATTTCTTGCAGTAGCGTAATAGTCATGACTTCCTATCCATGCAAGAATGTTGATTGTTCGAGGATATAGAGCATAACAGGATGAGTTACGGATTCCATTTTGATTTTAAAAAAAAGACGTACAAACACACTCGTAACAGAAAGATACCATTATATGAATCAATGAGGTTAAAATCTAAAGAAATCCCACACAAAAATTGAATAAGGAACATTGCAGACCTGCGATGACTAGAGCCACCTCTGGAGAAGCCACTTGTACTCATAAACTCGTCATCGGTCTCATCTGCCCTATACTCGGGGAATTCAACAGATGTCACAGAACCTTCATCAGAATTTGAATTATCATAACTTGCTCGGCGATTTCCTCTTCTTGTGTCAGCAACTCTTGACCTTCTTCTGTTTCTAGAATTCCTCAAGTTATCAAAAACCTGATATAAGATGCAGGAGGTCCACCAGTTGCGTTCATCCCCATGGAAGTCCTCAAACTCATCTCCAGTCTCATCGTCACCATATTCAATCACATAATCTCCTAAAACCACCCCACGAGGGACTTCTGAATGTATAGTGCTCAAAACATCTATGATCTCAGAGGACTGCTGGAAATTTTCCCAATCAAGCAGCCGAGCAGGATCAATCTTTGAAGGACGAGAATGAGGGTGCTCCAGCTGAGCATGTTTTTGTAATTCCAAATACGAACCCATAAATTTACATTGATGCACCTCACAACAACGCTTTTTCACATCCAGATGTACACGAGCCTTGTCAACAACAACCCACCCATTAACTTCCCCCCTACACAAGGGACAAGTAGGCTTGCAATCGTCTTCTGATGCCTTTGGCTCAGTATTTTCTGCAGGACTCACAACAGATTTTGTAGGAGATGACATACCATATGCACTCTTGAAGCGGTCTAAACAATTGGAGTGTAGGTGGTTTGTGTCGCAAACAAAAGGACGGCACCCTTTCTCATAAGATGAGCACTGAAGGAGTACACCATTGTGGGGGAAATCCAAACATATAGGACAAGTTACATCTTCCCAGTTTATATTTAACTCAATATCATCCAAACTGAATGAACTGGGTTGAAGCTCTCTTTGATTAGAAGCTTCAAGGGCCATGGTGGGGTATATTACTTAGAATTAACACAAGCACATGGCATGCACCACACAATCGGATCAGAATTACCACTTTAACAATAGAAACTCTGAGCACAGGCAAACCAATCTTCCAGGTTAATAGCCACTGATCAAATATGATAGCATCCTACATGAGACTCTGCATAGCAAATGATCACAGTAAGTATGATGAATAGTGTACAGAAAAGCTAGGAGATGAAGAAATGCAAAATTGCTCACCATATTCTATACTCTTCGGAAAAAAAAAACTTCAATAACCTAGAATTAAAAACAATATTTCCAATGACTATAGCTATTAAAGCATATTAGAGGAACCCTGTAAATGATATATATTGAACAAACGAGACAGGGCGAGGGTTATGAGAAGGATAGGTTTTTGCAGACATTATTCTAACAAAGATGAGTTGCGATGAGCCAAATAACACTGCTTTTTGAAACAAGGTACCGAAACTAGCACAACCCATCACAAAACTTCTGTTAAATTAGCATATTACCCCTTTTTTATGATCTAAATGTGCAGCATGATTACCAGGAAAATTAAAGCATGTTCAGTAAGACATTTTTTCTTCCGAACCGAAAGAAGCCAGGTCAACTGTATGGATTTAGCTAAGCAGAGTAACCAAACAACGTAGAACACAATACATATATAATCTCAATTCGTTTTGTTTCCTTTTATTGAGTTGGTTTCAGTACCCAATATGTTATGTTGTATGCTTGTCACCAATTCTCCAGGTTGAATGTTGATTAGAACAACCGATAAGAAAGTCAACAGAAGCAAACAGCCATCACAGGAAAATCAATTTCAACAAGCAATTTCTCCAGCCCACTTAACCAATAATATACTATCCCATCAAATTCAACAACACATTATCTTTATACACTAGAACAAGCAAACTCAACTAATTATATCAATTTGAAAACATCAATTAAGCTGAAAAAATGGACAAATTAATCAATCGCAAACCTTTCAAATTAAACAAATTGATTAACCCAGCAAGCATAAACAACAAAGAATCACAGTTGTTCTGAGAAAATATGAATCAGAATCAATAACTAATCACAAAAACTGATCAAACCAAAACATAGGTTATTCAGTGAACTGAGAAATGATCCAACAAAACGACCCAAGGCAGCAAAATCATTGGTGAAAAGTTAAAAGATGGAAACTTTACTCTAATGAGCACCCAGTAAAATCAACAAAAACCAATAAATCAATCCATGATTCACAACCAAAGCATCAATCAGAAAGGGACAAAAGAAACCCGAAAGAAATTGAGAGAGAGAACTGGGAACCTGGGTCTCACCTAATATATAAGAATCATCGATTGAAAAATGGGGGAGAACTCGAAGTGGAGATTGAGGCCAAAGAGGAGGAGACAGAGAGGGGCTTGGGAATGAAAGAAATTTTATTTTATTTGGTTTTTGTTGCAAGGCTTGAGGTTTATGAGAGCAAAGAGAGCATTCTTTCTTGGTCTCTCTCTTTTGTTTGTGTTTTGTGTGTGCGCGATTGGGGTTTGGGGAAGTCAGTTTTGTGACGTGTAGGTTGGTAGGGCTCTATTTCTCTTTTCAATTTTTTTCTATTTATTTTCTTTTTTATTTTTACAAAAAAATTGATATATCGTTATCATATGAGTCTCGTTTTCCTATTCCTTATTTTTTTTTAGTGACAAAAAATTTATGATCACTTATCCTTAAATTTGATATGTGGAGTAAGATATAAACATTAAAAGCACATTCACTCCACCTTTTATATCAATTTAACAATAAGTGATCAACCACTTAGTATTATGGTTTAATAGTATTTATTTTCACTGGTAAGTGAGAGGTCTTAGGTTCGATTCTCACCAAAAACGATTTTGAACCACATTATTGCTAGCACATTGTGAGGCTAAGCCCATCCTATATATCGTTTCTTCAAAAATAAAAAATAAAAAAAATAAGTGACCATACATATAATTTTTTATGAGAAGGGATTTTAATTTTTTTTTTCAAAAAATAAGAATTAGTTGTGGGACCAACTTCATATCGAACTTCAACAATCTGAACCGTCTATTTTGTAAGTCTCGATTCATAGATCATCTTGTACAAAAATTCAACTCAATCCGATATTATTTGCCTATTTAACTATCACGATAAAGTTTCAATATTTCTTTGAGAACAAAGTGTTCATTAATTTCTTTGAACTCAATTAGATATCTCAAATATTTCTGATTTGACTAATAATTTGCAAGAATAATCTATAAGGTCCAACTTAAAAAATAAATTATTCGAATTGTTAAAATTCAATATGGCGTGGACAACTAATTCCTATTTTTTAGGAATAAAAATCTCCTTCCCTTAAAGGCTTCCACATACACACACACACACATATATATATATATAGATAAATTACACGTAAAACTTTTTGAGTAAAATGACTGTTATGGCCTCCTGCTTTGACCAAGCTTCTTAAATCTTAAGTTGTTAGTGAGAGTGACAGAGTGTTGCTTAATTCAGCACAATTCTTGTGTTTTAAGTTATAATCCCCCGATAGGCTATGCCATAGCCTGGAATTTTGTTTTTCCTTCAATTAGTTACAATATTTGAAAACGATATTTTTGGATTTCACACGTATTTACACGTGTATATTCCATATGCATTTGGAAATATTTTCTTGTTTAATTGGACAATTTGTTATTTTCTTGTGGAAAAAACACTAAGACCGTTAACAATCAATCACAACTTCAAATTAGGGGAGACTTGCGCGATTGTTTTCGATCCACGTCATTATTTTTGGTTTTTAGAAAGTAAGAGAGTTTCATTTTTTAATTATTAGTAAAATATGATTGTTCTTCGTTGGGTCAATTTATAATTAGCTTTTTTTGTCTTTTAGTACAACAATATATTTTACATTAAAAGAAATAGGAGTTCGGTTAGCCACACAATGGACAACATAATTTGATATCGAATTCGCTATTCACGATATTCGAACCTAAGACCTCTTACTTACAAGTGAAGATGAATATCATCAAACAGTATTACTGAATAGTTTATAATAAGTCTTATCTTTTATTATTATTATTATTATTTCTCATTTATTTTAATATGTACAATTTAAAATCCGACCCGAATTTGTGTCGTTTTTCTTCTTTTTGTTTAAAATTATGTTATGGTTGATCAACCATCAAGTGAAGTTAACAAAAAACGAAAAACATGGATTGAATTGCAAAAAGTTGGCATGTGGAGAATGTGATTGTGATTTGTGAGGCGAGGGAGTTGTGCCCACTTTGGTGGGCGGTAAGGTAACCGGTAACTGAACCCGGTTCGGTCAGTACTTGCATTGCATTCCATGCCCGGAAAGTCAAGCCTCCTCCTCGCACTCTCTTTAAAGTCAAAAGTTACTGTTTTGTTTGTCCTTCTTTTGACTTTTTTTTTGGTGTGAAAAAAGGGGACTAAAATGTTTAAAATGTCAATTTCCTAATAAACACCAAAAAATCATGAACAAGATGGAGGATATAAATTTTTTTTGTTTTTATTTTTAAGTCGAGCGGTATTATATAGACTAAATTGTGGAAAAGGAAAATCAAATTTAAGTGCATGGTGTAGGACACGTGAAAGCAAGGCCGGCCCAAGCCCAGTGCGGGTAGGGCAATCCTTTGGGGCACCAAAATTATTAGAGTGATATATTTATATATGTTTTCATAAGAGTATGAATTTATAAAATTTGGTTTGATAACAAAGAAATTTAACTAGAAGTGGTGGTTTTGTCATTTGAAAATAATGAAGAGGTCTTGGGTTCAAAACACTACCTGTGCTTATTTACTTTCCAATTTTTATAAATTTATTTTCATAAGAGTATAAATTTATAAAATTTGGCTAAATGATCAAGAAGTTTAATTAGAAGCAATGGTTTTTGTTGTTTAAAATTAACAAGATTTTCTAAGTTCGAAATGCTTCATGCGTGTTTATTCTTTTCAATTTTTATGAATATTTGTTTGGTTGTTAATTTATTTTTAGTTACTAGTTAGTGGCTATGTGGGTTGTTATTTTTAAATATTCGTTTGAATTCAAGTCTAATCTTCTACAAAAAGTAATATGTAGACATATTAATTTAGTGCCCATCTATTACTTATAACGTGTCATCAAAAAGTTTAATTTAGTGCCCATTCATTACTTATACATATTAATTAAAGACTCGAAAACATCATTATTTTTTTAGTCTCATATTGACAAGGTTAGTAAATAAGAAAAAACACCTCACGATTTATACAAAAACACTTTAACAGTTCATATGGAAAACAAAACTCATCGTCTATATACATGTAAGCTCGGAGTTTTTTGGTTTCCTTCTCTGAATACAAAATAAATTAGTCTTTCTGTGTTTATAAATTATTGAGTTTGAATTGTTTTTCTAAGTATAATTTTATCAATGTCTTACGTGTGAAAATAAATAATTTTCTTATATGAAGTTAGGGCACATTTTTTGGCATCGTCCAAGACCTCAAAAATCTCTGGACCGACCCTGCATGAAAGAGTTTCATAACGAAAGTCAACAGTTATCGTGACATTATATGTCAATGAGATGCAAGCCACACAACATGTGTAAACTTCTATTCACCGGATGTTGTATCAAAGCACATGACATCGTAAAAGCGGACAAATGTCATTGAATTAAACAACTTCTTTAAATCAGAGTTCAATCACAATTACGATGTACTCATGTCAAGTCTCTCAACGGTTGAGTTATTGTGTGAGAATTGTTCATATCCCAACAATCTCAAAATAAAGAATGCATATCAAGTAGAGGCTTTTTAGTGTTTAAATACATAAATATGTACCTTTAGAGGACGTAGACGTGCAAGTGTTAACTGATAATGATTCTCATGATTTTAGTCCCATTGTTTAATTGAAGATTATACAATTAATACGACAAGTAGCTGATTCCAATACCTAATATTTTAATTTAATTTAATTTAAAAGAAGGAACGTGAAAGAACAAACCATGTCGTTTTCATTAATTTAATTTTGCTCAATTATTTAATTTTATTTTTATTTAATATGACATCAGACGAATTTTATAAAAGATCCTTTGGTATCATGGATTTCATCTCGTGCAAGCAAAATGTATATAAAGAATTTTGATAATTAATTAAATCAAAATGTTTAATGGAGGCATAAACGGTAGTCAGCCGACATTAATAAACAATTTGCGTGTGATTTGGATTCTCCTAAACATAAATTCTGTATATAATTGCGTATTTGAAATTTTCATTTGATGATAGCGTGAGTAGCGAGAATTTTCTAGTTTTAAGAAAAACAAAAATAGTTAGAGAAAACTTAAAGCATCAGTCCTTGAATTTTAGTTTAATTGGAACTTTGATCATCAGATTAAAAATTCGAGAGCACTGATCAAAGAAGATTTGTCACGAGGTGAAAAATTGTCAATTTAACTAACTTCGTTAAAGTTTTCATCCAAAATAAAACATTTTAAAGATCAAATGAAGATCGAAAGTTTTCACAAGACACGTCCGAAAGAACCATAGGCTCCACCAGTGACAAATTCAAGGACGAATGCTCACACTTTTTATTCGGGAGCAACAATTAGGCCAAAATGCAGAAACCAATCCTCCAAGTACTCTATGCATGCAGTTAAGAAAAATTATGGTAGGATTGGAGGATTTGAAATGACCTCGGATGCAGGGGTAAACGCAGTTAAAAGAAAGTAATTATTTGAAAGAACCAATAAATTTTGAAAATTACCTATAGGAATATGAAGTTTATGAGCCGAGCCTGCTTTAATGCACATACAACAACCAAACCTCAAAATTCCCATCAAACCCCAAAATTATCCACCGCTATCAAAAACTGACCTAATCCCTGGAACCCCATTGCGGGTCGGTATGAGCGCATGGCCAATCGATCCAATTCTCGTAGCACAACCATACCTGTGCACAAACTACTTCTGCTCCTCTATAATCCGGGTTACAACGCCGACGGCAATAGTGCTTCCTAATGCCCTTAAAAATGCCCTCCCCAGCGCTCTAGAATTAGAAAACTCTTCCACACAAACTGGCGCGTGAAGAATTACCTGAAATGAGGGCAGGGAAGGATCGGAATAATGTTACTGTCAGTACCATATGCACAATGCAAGTAACCTGTAAAGTGAAACAGAAGCGATGGTTTTGATTTTATTCACCTCTACGACTGCGCTCTGCTTTGCAGTAAGACAGCGAGGAGCTTTTCTTGTCACCTTGCCAGTCTTTGGATCAAGCAATGATGATATTTTTACAACTCTCGCAGCCTCCTTCGTGTGGTGTATGTGAAATTCCAACTGCTCATTCCAGACATTATATTTGATTTCCATACAACAGTGGCGCAAAAAGAAAAGTAAATTTTTCGTGTAAATGAAATACACACCTGAGAGCCAATTAAAATCGGGGTTGTAACATCCAAAACAAGCACCTTTAGTTCCAAATGTTTTGCAACTGCAACTGGAAAACTAGGGTGACAGAGCACACCTCCTGCCATCAC